TTGCAAGATTAAAGTAAAATTGTTGGACGTTTTCACCAATTTTTCTGATTTTTGATTTTATTCAATCCACAATACAAGCAGCTTTTTGCCATAAATTGATCCTTCTGTACCTGCTGTGATCCACCTGTGATCCTCCTGTCCCTGCTGTGATCCTCCTGTACCTGCTGTGATCCACCTGTACCTGCTGTGATTCACCTGTGATCCTCCTGTACCTGCTGTGATCCACCTGTACCTGCTGTGATCCACCTGTACCTCCTGTACCTGCTGTGATCCACCTGTACCTGCTGTGATCCACCTGTACCTCCTGTGATCCACCTGTGATCCTCCTGTACCTGCTGTGATCCACCTGTACCTGCTGTGATCCACCTGTACCTGCTGTGATCCTCCTGTACCTGCTGTGATTCACCTGTACCTGCTGTGATCCACCTGTGATCCTCCTGTACCTGCTGTGATCCACCTGTACCTGCTGTGATCCACCTGTACCTGCTGTGATCCACCTGTGATCCTCCTGTACCTGCTGTGATTCACCTGTGATCCACCTGTGATCCTCCTGTACCTGCTGTGATCCACCTGTGATCCTCCTGTACCTGCTGTGATCCACCTGTACCTGCTGTGATCCACCTGTGATCCTCCTGTACCTGCTGTGATCCACCTGTACCTGCTGTGATCCACCTGTACCTGCTGTGATCCACCTGTGATCCTCCTGTACCTCCTGTGATCCACCTGTACCTGCTGTGATCCTCCTGTACCTGCTGTGATCCACCTGTACCTGCTGTGATCCACCTGTGATCCTCCTGTACCTGCTGTGATCCACCTGTACCTGCTGTGATCCACCTGTGATCCACCTGTACCTGCTGTGATCCACCTGTACCTGCTGTGATCCTCCTGTACCTGCTGTGATCCACCTGTACCTGCTGTGATCCTCCTGTACCTGCTGTGTTCCTCCTGTACCTCCTGTGAGTGAAGCATTGTGGGTTTGCACTATTTCTAAATAATTTGATATTAATGTTTTATTTTGTCCCATTTGATGTTGCTTTAAAAGGACCAAAACATGACCGTATGCTGATCTACGTCATTTGCCAATTAACCAATTAACACTTCTCATATATCAGATATTATATTTATACATTTCAAGATTTAAAATGAAACCTTTAATGTCCTTTTTGTTCTGGGGGGAGTTACTCCAAAGCGTGGTCGTGCATTATCGTGCAGAAGGTTATAATAATACATATAATAATAATAAAGATATTATTGTTATTGATTGGTGTGTGTGTGAAGGGTGCATGATCTTCAGTGTGTGTTCCCCCTCCTGCAGATGTGTGTATTCACCTGAACAAAGGTTTCCTGTGTGAGAGATTATATATAAATGATATTATATTTATGTATTTCTGCCGTCCGTCCCTCCGTCCGTCCTCTGGGATGAAGATCTGTGGAGACGCAGTATTTTTCTCATATTCTGCACATTTTTGTACAGTTTTATTAAAATACATTTCACATGGATGTCTCCGAATGAATCTGCTGCCACAAACAGTTTAGACTGTAGATACATAATATATAGATATTATTGTGCAACGGGAAATAAATGTAAAACTGATCCTGTCTCCTGTGTTTGATTTACGCTTTATTAAGAATTTGTTATTTCAAATGTTGTATTTCTTATAATTATTGTTATTCTAAATATTCTAAAAGCAGAAATACTCTGATCTTGCACTTGAGCAAAAGAAGAAGAATTATTATAATTGTTATTATATTCATATTTAATATTATAGTTATTATTTTCATTTTTGTATTAATCAAGAGTTTTTAAACCAAACCAAACGTTTGTCCAATTTTAAATACTATATCATTTAATTTAGGTTATTTTCTCATTTAATGTTGGACTGTAAAAATAAATTTGTTTTAATGCAACTTTAATAAGTGGCTTCATCCATCCATCCATCCATCCATCCATCCCTCCATCCATCCCTCCATCCATCCCTCCATCCCTCCATCCATCCATCCATCTATCCATCTATCCCTCCATCCATCCATCCATCCCTCCATCCATCCATCCATCCCTCCATCCATCCATCCATCCATCCATCCATCCATCCATCCATCCATCCATCCCTCAATCCATCCATCCATCCATCCCTCCTCTCCCGCTTATCCGTGGTCGGGTCGTGGAGGTATCAGTTCCAGCAGAGAGCCCCAAACGTTCCTTTCCCCTCATCAACCAGCTCTGACTGGGGGGTCCCAAGGCCCTCCCAGTCAGAGAAGAGATATAATCCCTCCACCTGGTCCTAGGTCTACCCCTCGGTCTCCTCCCAGCTGGAAGTGCCTTGAACACCTCCCTATGGAGGCGCCCAAGTGGCATCCTTACTAGGTGGCATCCTAACTAGGTGCCCTAACCACCTCAACTGGCTCCTTTCGACACGAAGGAGGAGCGGTTCAACTCCGAGTCCCTCCCTGATGACTGAACTTCTCCCCTTATCCCTAAGGGAGACACCAGCCACCCTTCGGAGAAAACCCATCTCGGCCGCTTGTAACCGAGAGATAGCTAAGATAAGATAATTTTAACAAGATGCCTGTGTGCTTAGTACCAGGCTGTAATCATACCAGCAATGGGTCTTGCTCGTTCTTTCGCTTCCCGTCTGAT